TGAAAGAATACTGAAATGCTCGTATACTTCTGCATTACAGTAAAATATCTGAAGCTCGTCTTCTCACTTGGTATTCGATGACAGATTTATCTTATATATAATATAATCAACTTTATCATTTTTGGGAGAAGTAATTCGCGGCTACAACTTCTCTGGTGACACCGAAATTCAATTCTTTATTATATCTGTTTGTAAAAGGTTGTGATAAAAATACACTTATAACACTTTCCTTCGGCGAATTTGAACACTATCTTCATATAACATCCAGTTTCTAAGTCAACCATAAGCTAGGACTTCCAACAATAACGTTCTGATCTCATTATTTACATCTATCGCACCCCAAATTCTTGAATTCACGATCATATTCTGCTTTTTGTTATTTAGCAGTTGATCTTTTGTTGTTATTTGTGATTTTTATCGAAACTTGTTTCCACAGTTTTTATTATTAATATTGTAAATTACAAGAAATGCGCGATCTACAGAACACCGATCTACAGAACAGTTATTGAGAATTGAAGCGGTCGCGAACGTCAGTACCGACAATAAATTATTAAATGATTCAATTTTTATAGTGTACATTGCATAAATCATTCACGTACCACTCGATTGTGTTCCACATACCAGCGATTAAGAATCGCTGGTGCATTACGATGATACTACATAGTTTGTATGTATTACTCAATCTGTGTGATAAGTAAAGAAATGACACTTTTTTAATTTCTCTTGAGCTTTATATATGTAGAATGGTTGTAGCCAATTTGTTGAGACGGTTCTTCAATCATAGCTGATATTACTTGTTGTTTGGGCTTCTTTTCATCCCTTTTCATGCCGACATCAATTTTTTTGGATAATTTATCAACTTGGAATATGTATACCAATCTACATTCGGTTTAACTGTTAGTATCTTGCTTTACCATTTTTCTATAATCGTTGTTCGTATTGAACGCCACGTTTTAGTAATAGTTGATAGGCAATCGAGTCTTCAAAGCATATTTGAAAATTAAAGAGAATATTGAGCGCATTCTTCGTGTAATTTATTATCCAGCATCAACATTCGTTTTTGTCACATAACATATTCTTATGTTCTTGCAGTAGCAAGAAATTTTAACAAATATTTCGTGTCTGCAATGCAACTACAAAATGCAGTATCACGTTATCATTAACAACTGCGTAAAAATCAGTAAAATTTTAGAAATAAAGGTATAATTTTGTTCCTGTTACATATAATATATGAATGAACTACGAAAAGGTGCATAAAGTTTTCTAGCAAAATTTTATACAGTTCAACTCATGAACAATAGGTATTTATAACCGAAGCAATCTTTAGTTGCAATAATTGAATATGAAATACAAAGAAATGATTTACGCATTTAGTATATCGTCTTATGTATATATTGTAGCATGAATAGCATAATAACATAGTTATAGTAAATCATAGCGAGTAAATATTTTAGTCGAGTATTGTTGACTTAACTTTTTCGATGAAAAGTAAAGATGAGGATTAGTAACATAAGATTGATTTTTACTTATTGTAATCAAGAACAGCATATTTATAAGATTAATATCTATTGATAACAATTCTATTGCAATAATTTGAGTTTACAAACTCAAGTACTTGAGTAACTTGTATAGAACGCACTCACTAATTGGTGCATCATTTTTACAACGATGTATTTTGCAAAAAAACAAATTGTATCAAATATGTCTTGTGTGTATGTGTGTGTGTATGGCGTTAAATAAGTAAATCTTATATAAATATAAGGTTTGATTACATGTTTACTTTTTATTTAATGTCAGGATCGTATTTCCTTAGGGGCATGAACCTGTTAAGGACTTATATTATATATCGCATTGTTGAGAATATAAGAAATGGAACTGATGGGACTTAGAGATTTATTTCACCGACTATATAAATGTTATGAGAGACGTTCTATAAATGAGTACTCTAATTTGAATGTTTATATATTTTATATATGTTATATATTTATGAATGTTATATATTTTTGCATAGTACGAACACTTTCTGCATTTTGTATTTTGTAATTCACCGCAAGTCCACCAATATTTACAGTATAATCGTGAGTAAACTGTTTGCTAATTATAAATGCGTAATTTGAAAAGGAAAGATCAGAGAATATGAAAATATTTATTTCAAATTTTCTAAAATTTGGACGTTTAAACATTAAGTGTGGAAAATAAAAGTATCTTTAATATTTCCATATGGAAGCGGAGTGCGAGGATGGAATGTGTCAGCTGAATGAATGAGTCCAAAGACCATAAAAGCAATATATGGATAATATATGCATATACCAATATATGCAATAACGTGCTGAGAAAAGTTAGGTTGGTATGATCGCCGTGGCAGTGACTGGAGTGGTGGAGTAGCAAGTGCGGAACAAGTGGCCATTTTTGCGTCCAATGGGGGAAAAAGACGCAACCGTAGCGAAAGATAAGGAGGTAGAGGAAATCATCAGAGGAGGGGGTGAAGCGAAGCTGGTTGCTGAGCCATCACACGTCAGCACTAGAAGCATGACGAAGGCGGTCCCGCCAAAAGAGGGGTCTTCCCACTCCACACTGGACACGGAGAACCTACGGGCGGAAGAAACGACAGAGGAAACCACCGCCGGCGAAGCGCCCCGCGCGAAGGAAAGGAAGGCCGGCCCCGAACTCCCCACGGACCTAGCCAAAGAGATGCGAACATCTACTACGGCGGACATAGGAGCGGAACTGATCCGTCGAGCCGCCGAGGTGACCGATGTTGCCGAGACATCTCGCAACCTCAAGGGCACGCAAGGGAAAACGCTAAAAGAAGCGGCGAGAACTATTGCTGCGGGCGCAACAGAAATGGTGAGAAGAATAGACCCTCGTTATAGCAAAAGGACGCATAGCGACACTAGAGGCGGAGGTCGAGGCGCTCCGAAAAGAGCTGGCCTCACGCCCCACCGCAAAGAAGAGCAGTGATACGGCTCGTCTCGCCACAGTCGAACACGAGATAGAGGAGATAAGACCCTCGCTGCACCGGTTTGGAAGAACGCCTTCAAAACATAGAAAGGAGGGAAGAAAAGGAGGTCGTTCCTGACGAGAGCACGAGAAGGATCTATCCTAGGCTCTAGGCTAGAGTTCCAAATGCTCCAGTGACCAAGGGAGGTCAAGCGGCCGTCATGGAATGGCAAACCGCCGAAAGGAAAAAAGTAGAAAGAAGAAAGAGGCAGAGAAGAAACAACCGGCGAAGCTAACCTCCGGGACAGGGGCGAAGAGCCTGAGGAAAGCCCCAGAGAGTAGATCGAAGAACACGCGAAGAGGCGGAGGCAAGCGAACGAAAGTGGGCGGTAACAATTACAATTACTAAGGGATAAATCGGGCCAATCCTACGCGGAAGTGTTGGCGGAACCCTACGCGGAGATGTTGGCCGCGACCAAGGACAGCGTCTCCCTGGCCGAGGTCGGCATCAACGCGGTGGAGATGCGCAAAACCATAAACGGAGGCGTCGTTCTGGAGGTCCCCGAGGACCAGAAGAGGGAGTAGGCCGTTGCTCTCGCTGACCCGGGCCTTGGGTGCGAACAAAATCCGCGTGGCGACACCCTTCCGAGCCGCGGAAGCAAGGGTGTCTATGATAGACATATCGGACACTAAGGAGGAAATCAAGGACACCCTGGCGAAGGAGAGCGGTTGCAAGCCGGAGGACGTCCGACTGGGAGAAATCCGCCCCGCCCGAAACGGCCTTGGATCTATATGGATATAAGGCCCGGCCGGCAGACCTGGTGCAGTGAGGAAACTGGTCCAGGCTGGCAAGGTCGCCATAGGTTGGTCGACAGCGAAGGTCAAAGCCATCGAGCGAAGATCTTTGCAGTGTTACAGGTGCCTGGAGATTGGGCACGTAAACAAGACCAGCACCGCCAAGGAAGACAAGAAGCACCTATGCTTCAGATGCGGCAAACCAGGGCACTAAGTGAAAGCATGCACTGCCGCGAGCCCGAAATGCCTACTCTGCGAGGCGCTTGGAGCACCATCTGTGGACAGGATGGGTGGACCGGCCTGCGCTCCCCCCCCCCCCCCCCCCCCCCTGAAGAAAGCTACAAAAGGAGCCCCCGCTGATCCACAGCTGCAAACGGCAACGAAAAAGGCTCGCCGTCGTAAGGCGACCCTAAGCCTGTGAACAAAGAAGCTGGCACGGAGGAAGCCATAGAAGTGACGACACTAGGGGACTGAAAATGCGCATCCTCCAGACTAACCTGGGAAGGTCAAGGCGAGCGCAAGACCTGTCTACCAAACCATTCGGGAGAGCACGGTCGCCTTAGCGGTGGTGGCAGAACCATACAGAGTTCTGGATGCTCCGGAATGGGTCGGAGATACGGACGAAATGGTTGCTGTTACCTGGACATCAATGTCGGGGGCGTTCGCCCACGGGGCCCTGCTGGAACGCGGCAACGGGTACGCCGCGGTCGAGTGGGCAGGGATGACGGTGGTGGGGGTGTACGTGTCACCTAACAGCGGACGTGTCACCTAACAGCGGATGGGCAACGTTCGAGGAATTCCTGGACGGGGTTGGCGACTGCGTCAGGCGACGACTCCAGGAGCTCCATCGTCGACATCACATGGGCCTTCCCCAATGCATTCAGGCGGATTTCAGACTGGAGAGTAGCCGAGGGGTCAAGACACTTTCGGACCATTTCTACATATTCATGGAGGTGGACACACCTGGACCTGAAACGGCGACTGCAGGTGATGGTCGCGGCCCGCTGCCAAAATGGAAGGTAGAGGAGATGAACGGAGATCTTCTCCGGGCGGCTGCTATAGCAACAGCTTGGAGCTGGGAGGCCTCGACGACGACGACTGAAACAGACGTGGAAGAGGAGGCCGAGAACCTTCGCCGGGCCATGACAGCAATTTGCGACGCATCCATGCCACGTGCCACACCAGACTCGGTGCGAAGCAGAGCAGTCTACTAGTGGAATAGTTCGGGTCTCGAGTCTACGAGTGAGAATAATCCGGGGAAGGCTATGAGTGTACCGATTGTGCCCAGGAGGTCAGCAAGATTACATAAACCAAAGACATGTGATAGTTGTGCTACATGTGATAGAATTAAGGACAAATTAGACGTTAGGCTGCTAGGTACAGACACTCAATTTTTATCCATCCACCTGAGTAAGCCAAACAGTACCACTGTCGTATTTGATCAATCCGTACAGATCGGTCAAATGCATATAATGTATGTCGCCACTGTAAATCGCCCTCATGTCGCGTGTGCAATAGGGAAATTAAGCCAAAGATGTGCAAATCCGACTCTATCCGATTGGAAAGCAGTGAGGCGGATTTTCAAGTACCTGCTGAAGACCAAAGACTTAAAGCTAGTATACCAAAAAACAGGATAACCTTTGAAGGTGTTTTGTAATTCGGATTTTGCGGGCTCTACGGTAGATAGGAAATTCAGGAGCGGGTATGTCTTCATACTCGCTGGTGGTGCAATATCCTGGTTGTCTAAGAAACAACCAATTATAGCTCAATCGACGTGCGAAGCGGAGTTCGTGGCGATGCAGGAAGCAGCAAGGGAAACTGTGGATTTCCTTATTGTTAAGGGAGTTGGGTCAATATGTCATATCAAAGCTATGGGGCTTGTAGAAACTATGATCAAAGGGGAGTATTGAGAAAAGTTAGGATCGCTAGTTACTACAAGCTAAGTTGGCACAACTTCTAGCGACACTCTTTTGTCTTAGAAGTCGACTACGTGTTAATTGATCAAGTGTATCCTGTGTGTTGTACGAGGCGGAGAAATATATAGAGAAAATCGAATCTGTGTGAATCGATTAATTATCAACCCCAAACCTACATCAATTAACATAACGGTTGTCTATGTATGTTCCCGCCCATCAGCGTTACATATACATAATATCTCTGCATGATAAAAATCATTTTAGGAATAAGACAAATTCATGCACTTAATAATTCCAGATATGAAAATTCTTTTGTGAAGGTAGTTTTCGAAAAATTGACCAATATCTATTTTCACGTAGATCTATTATAAAGTCGTATATCGTATGTAATTAATGAGACTGTTTTCGCCTTTCTATTCACACAAAATGGTAACACCATTCGTTAAATTTCACCATTACTGATGATGAAACTACCGATATGCATGTGTAATTCAGAAACTTGTGCGATTGAATATTTTACAGGGTATATTGAAAAAAAGTTATTAAAATGGCACAATGTCGTAAACGTCACGACGTAAATATTTATTTCTAAAAATCTTAGTTTCCGTCGCAACGAGCAAATTCTGTTGCTTTTACCAACGTATATCGTTAATGATAATGTGGATTTAGGAAATGTTTATCTTCCAAATAAAGAATTTTCGGACATTTCCAAAGTTATTAATAAAATTTTTGATATTTATTACCTGGAACTGCGCAACGAAACATGATTTAATAATGAAGGATGCATTCCTCATGATAGAAATATGACATATTTGGCATTAATTATCAAACTATACAAATATACAGTGTGGCTCGGCCAACAGTCAAGATTTGTAGGCTCAACTATGAAGACGCATTCAAAATTACTGCATTAAAAGAATGTTTAACCAGTTTCACATTTTTTTTAACAGTAACTCTATATGCTTCTAGGCTTTGTAGTATTCTTCTTCCTTGTCTACATTTGCTAAGTCTTATATTTGCAGTATATGCAAATACGTATATGTGTATTGTGTTGCTATTTCGCTTACATTCTCACTTTTTCCATGTATATACAGAGTGAGCCAAAATTATATATCACGACCACCGTGGTCGACGTCGAGACCTCGATATTTTATGACAATCATAACTAAAATCATCAACGACCTAAGAAAAATCGACTTCCTCCCACTTCATATTGATTTGTGACCTAAAGATTGGACTTATCGTAACTTAATATACCTCACTTTCCCATTTTCTACTAAAACTTTCCCATTTAGGATAAGTAATTTTTAAGATATAAAGCAAAATGTAACAAGGATTCGTGTTTTTTACATTTAATCAATATTTTGTTTAGGAAGCACAGGAGAATTGATTCAAAGCAGCTTATATTTTTCTAAATCCCGTTGCATATTAGGCAAAAACATTTCTATTATTTTTTTCTGAATAAATATTAATTCGATTGGGCTAGAGAGGTTGATTCTGGTTTGGCCGGTTCTTAGTTTAACAAGGAACAATCCTTTTATTATTTAACATGCAAAATACAAAAGTTTTAAGTGAAAGCGATGACAAAGAATCCAGTGATAGTGACGTGTTTGTACCAATCAGAAAGCGTCCAAGGCGTATGATTATAGATGAGAGTAGTGAAGAGGAAGGTACGACGCGTCAATCATGGATTTGGCAGAAAGTAAAAAAACACACCAATAGTTTGGAAGTATTCTAAAGCTCGTGGCATAAAAGCGCCTGTTTTATCTCTAATTTAAGCGAGGATGCAAAAATATTAGACCTACTTTCTATTATATTTGATAACAAATTGTGGGAAATACTTGTTACGGAAACAAATCGCTTCGCACATCAGACAATGCACGACGAGCGTAAAAGACGGAAAGTGGACAGCACTTGGTATCCTATTACCTTAGACGAAATAAAGGTCCACTATGCACTGTGTATTTTGATAGGTCAAGTAAAAAAAATCATTTATCCAACTGTATTAGACTATAAGAGCAGTAGTAGAAACACCAATATTTAGAAAAACAATGCCTTTCAAGAGATTTCGGAAAATTTCGAGATTTTTACATTTTTCTGATAATGAAACTGTTGATAGTAATGATCGACTTCGAAAGGTAAGACCTATCATCAACCTCTGGAATGAACAATTTAAAGAAATTTACACACCCACTGAATATGTCAGTATAGCTGAATCCTTGATGAAATATAGAGGGCGTTTAGCGTACAAACAATTCAAACCGTCGAAAAGAGCTCGATTTGGATTAAAAATTGACAAATTGTGCGGGGCAAGTACTCGTTTCTGTCATGGATTTAAAATATATACTGACCAGAACACAATTAATCGAAATGATAGTGAGTTGGAGAACGTTGTGATAAAGTTATCAAAATCTACAATAAACAAGGGATATACTTTGTTCCTGGACAACTGGTACTCTTCACTCAACCTCTTTTTAAAATTACACCAGAAAAAGGCAAACGTCATCGAGACAGTACGTAAGAATAGGAAAAATATGCCAAAAGACATTTAAAAGCGTATTTTTAAGAAATGAGAATGTGTATGGAAGTGTTGCAATAATTTGATAGCTCTGAGATGGAAGGACAAGTGCGTCGCATATATATAATCAACAAAACACGAAAGTGTAGAGATGGTTGAGCAATCAGACAAAAAATTACAGACAGTAATGAAGCCTAAATATATCCTGGAATATAACAAGGGTATGCGTGCACTTGATTATCAAGATCAGATATTATCCTGTTTCCCAATCATGAGAAAAGTCACCAAATGCTAAAAACTTTTCTTTTACACCATTAAACAAACAGAACTCAATTCTGACACCGCATAACACAGGTGTAAAATGTAAATATTGTAAATATTTGTAAATATTGTAAATATTTGTAAACAATCCTATTTGACATCCCCCCCGCCCCATCCCTCTCATCCCACCCCTCCCCAAAGTTACACAGCATCCAAAAAGCAAGCTACCGAAGCGTCCTGTTTTGCGACCAAGTTTTCAGGACAGAAAAAACAAATAAAAACAAAATCACATAGAAGCTCCGCTCCCCCAGCGGTTTAAACCCAAAAATTATATCAAACACGAAAAATGTAAAGCGCCGACACATATTATAGCATAGCTATGTCGTACCGTTGCGTATCGGTACTTTTGCCTAAAACATCACTACAAAAATTCACCGTTTATTGTGAATACCAAAATATATTTAAAATTGTATCTTGGGTTTAATAAACATCTTTAAATAAAAATAAATAGAAGGAAAATAAATAAAAAGAAAAAGGTCCTTATGCACATGATTGCGAAGTACTCTGATGTTTTCTCTATAATTGTTTCGTATCGCCAGGCATTGCTTATTCAAACTACTCGCTAATTACAATATATTGCATTACATAATTATTTCGGATTAAACTTCAACTAAAGATTGTACAAAATAGATTTGGGGTTTTTTAAAGATATCAGTCAGAATAGCATAGCCTTGCTTTCAGAAGAAACTCCTCAAATATTATAACTGTTGCTGGATAATTCCGTGTTATACAAAGAAGGTGAAAGCATTGACGATAAGCATGGTAAATCTTTCTTCCTCAATAGTCCGTATATCCATAAGCACATTGCCATGTTTTATCCATTTTCATGCAAGAGGCTAGAACAGTTTTCGAAGAGCAGAATCATATCGTCAGTTCACAGAAAACTTTCAGAGAACTGAAAATATTAGGCTAAGGTAATTATAGCTTAGTATAGATTAAAGCCACTTCTTGCAGATGTTTTAGATTTTTCTATTTTTTAATTTATATAACTTTTTTATTTATTGTTTCTAATTTTTTAGTTGCTTCTTTCTGTTTAATTATATATTTTTTATTTAGTAACTTGGGTGTATTGTGTGTGCAGTGCGCATAGTGCGTGTAGTGTAGGCGTAGTGCGTGTGTTGTGTCCAATATAGTCGTACTTTACATCCTCCGTTATTTATATCGCCTATTACAAAATGTCATGATTTCTTGACCTAATCTACTGTAAAGAATCCCACATTTTTCTCTGATTGAATTGTAATACGATAGACCTTTATAAGAGTTTTTTGTGAAATTTACTATCGCGAAAAATTTCGATCGTCGAAAAATAAAATCTAGCTTAATCGGAATATCCTGTCTATCACTATGGTCTCCTGGAACAACTTAGAAATGAAGGTGAAGAAAGAAGGTCCCAAGGTTGTACGGATTGATACATCTATATGTCGGAGAAGAAAGGACATCGGAGCCTTCCCTTTGGAACTTCGGGAAAATCCCTTAACACCATAATCTAGATTCGATCATAGGCGTAATTAAACAATTGTCGTCATTCGATCCGATTGTATTTGTTCGAGATTTATGATAATGAGCTTGGGCTCGAGGCGACAACCAATCGCCGAACGTAGCCGCGGTCACGGGATGAACGCTTTGTCTAACAAAGGTGTGAAGTAATTCTATAGCTCTCCTTAAAAGAAATATTTGTAGCGGCACGCGACAGTAAACATTCCAACGGTTTCTGTCCCGTGGCTCGCCACATACAGATCCTATTCTTCGGGTATGATGGTTACCGGATGCCGACGCGTCTCCACAGTACATGATCAGCTAGTCCGACGGCCGTTATAAATATTAAGATTTAGTTATCTAAAGTCCTGCGAACAGACAAACAGTCTTTGTCCCAACTACGGGAAGATAGGGGAGATCTTTTTTCAGCGAACGACGCTTCCCGCTAGCAACCTTCCCTCAAGGACGACTAGCATCCTTTTCTAACCACCAGCATCTCGTATCCTTAGACACACCCCATCATAGTTTTCCTCTGCATCATTATCGCGACGGAAAGTCATTCTCTCGTGAGGTAATATTAGCGAGTTAATTAACAATTAACAAAGAGTTAGTTTAGTTAGACTTCCACCGTAGCCAAGCAAGTCGAGTACAACTTGGGCTTTGGAAGAAGGCGCACTCT